AGCGCATCATCCCGACTGAGCGAAACCCCCGCGGCGGCCACCACCACGCCGCTGCAGCCGCAGCACAGCGCAAGGGCCAGCACGCACAGCGGCACGTGGCGACTCATTATCATCATCACTTCGACTTGGAAACTGCTGAACTGCATAATGGAAAGAGAGAGAGAGAGAGAGTAGTGTGCACGCAGAGAGAACCCCAGTGGCGCAGGGAGAAACCCCTTCCCAGTCGACTACCCCAAAAGAAAAAAAAACAGGTACGAAACCAACAGCCGTGGCACATGCCACAGCACCCCACATTACAAAGCCCAGCAACCGGAAACAAGGAGGTGTGACGTATGCACGTAGTTGCGGCGTTTATCGGCGCACGTGCATAAGCGTGTAGAGATGCGTTCCTTTGTAGATGGCAAACGATGTGACGTGCCCACATTAGGTGTGCCAAAGCGAAAACAAAGCACACAGATTAAAGGGAGGCCAGCGCACAGAATAGTATGTATTTATTCGTCAACCATAATGCTCCCGTGCCCCAACTATTCATCACACGGCAAAGAAGGCCAGCACTGCCACGACAAGAATAAGTGGTGCACGCACCCACTTGTGAGTATTGCTGCGGTCCAGCGTTACATCGGTGCCAATGTTGGTGCAGTCTATGCGAATGCTGCAAGAGGCCACTGCTGCCGCATCAGCGGCGCTCCTTTCTCCGCGGTCGGTCCCACCTCAGCTGTGGCAGTGCCTGTGACTGAGGGGGCTTCGTTATCAGTCTTCACGACACCTGTGCCCTTCCGTATTGGCCCGGATAGCTCCCCATCCTTGTCAAACGCGGGGCGACGTGCCCTCTGTTGGCCTCAACGGCCCTGGCCTCTCGCCTGCTGGCTTGTTCGGGTGAGGCTCAGGTCGTATACGGCTTGCGACAACCCTCCTGGCTTCTTTCGCCCTGCGCCCAATGGTCTGCACACGCGCAGACGACTCCCCCATTGCATACTCAGCTGCCAATATATAATAGAATGCACTAATCGCCAAATTTCCAGCGGTCTGCAGACCATCTTCGCTAATCGCTTCTGCTCCGACGTGGTCTTGTGACTTTCGAAATTCCCCGACACTCTTAGTCGCGTGTACACCCACACATGCAGCCTCCGGTAGCATCCTTCACTGCCTTGGTGGCATCAATCAACTATTTTATAAATCGCATCCACATGTTCCTCTCAGCCGTCGCTGCCCCTGTGTCCAGCACACACAGTTTCCTGATCCACTCTACAAGCATCAGCTGCAGCGCTAACAGCACATGACGCATTCTCGTCGTAGCCCAATGGAGCTTTTTGAAGGCACCGGTGTGTCCTCTTTACTGCTGCCTTTATACACTCTTCCGCTTCCTCCGCTGGAGCGCCGCATTCAGAGAAGCCAACAGGCGCACACAATTGCCAGAATCACCTGACCCACTTATAGCGGCATTCACACCCACTCGGCTAGGGTCTTTATATTTGGCACAGAAGTCATAGAGTGGTTGGCGTGGCCTCCTCTATGCACGTACGTTCCCCACCTACGCCCCACTCAGTGCATACGGCTGCCCGGAGAGCTAACTACCGCTGTTGCCAGGCACCTCATTCTGCTGCACCGCCGCCACGCACCCGCAGGCGCAGCACAGCGCAAGGGCCAGCACGCACAGCAGCACGTGACGCACCGTCACCGTCATTACTTCGCTTCAGGTCTCTGGCCTGCGCGGCGGAGAAACGGGAGGGAAAGAGAGAGAGAAGGTGGCAGACAGTCGCACACACATACACACACACGCACACGAAAGCAAACCAGCTTTATGACCCATATGCGACTGACAGCTTTTTGTTAGACGTTCCACAGCCCACCACCAAGATGCATCCTGAGGGGGCTTTGGCAAAACAGGAGCTGAATTTTATACGTTGTGTGCAGCACTCTACGTAAAAACATCAGAGGCAGCAAGTGTGCCTGTACATAACGAAGCACCACGAAGCAACGATGCTCAGTAGCAAGTGCTGATCTGTTGCTGAGGATACGTTCATTACTGTCCCAAGTGCGGGGAGGCAAAAATGGCGGAGAAAAGAAAACAAGTTCGAATGAAGCGAATATGAAAAGAGCTCGGGGAATTCCGAGATTGCTTTGAACATGTGAAAAGATTTGCAAAGAAGCGCTTGATTCAATGGTGTAAGAGCGTTATCAAGCCCCGTCGTCCGGCATTCATTTTCAATTGGGGAACCGAAAAAAAAAGAGTAACACAAAGTGTGTGACAGTGCAACGGTTGACAGATCAACAGAGACGCACGTGCAACGAGCAGCAACACGAAATACATCAAACTGGGGAGGTGCGCAGCATTGACCTTTTATACTCAATGAAGAGACGATAGTCCTCATTGCAGAACGAGGTGGGTGTCCTCCAAGGGGGGAAAAGGTATATTGAGTGTATATCTCCGAAATGGATAATAATAAAAAAACCTGATGCTGAGTTGAGAGTACATGGGCTGCGAAGGAAGAGAAAAAGTAGAGCCAGGCTTAGGCGTCCCACCTCCATCTGCTACGCCCATCCCTTTTTCCGTATCTCTGTGGTTTGCACGGCGAGTCAAGAAAGCTCTGTATAAACTAACTGGTTTTCTAACTGCTGCGACGGTCGAAGGGCATAGAGACAGGAGAAGCTGGTGGCGCATTAAAGAATGGATGGGGACCAGCAGACACGCGCAATAGTACTTCGCCTTGCGGCGTACGGATTCCACGGCCCCAAGTCAGCAACACTAAGGGAAGACGAGAGGCGCGCCACCTTGATAGAAAGCGGGTCGAAGGAGGCGCGGCTGTTGAGGATGCAGCAGAACGCCTCGTTTTGCGGTTCCGGGTCCTCCACCAGCTCTTCTGTGTAGGAGAAAAGTGAAAGCCGGCGCACAGGCGGGAGGCGTGCGCTACTGTGGCGTGACATCCCTACGGGAGGTTTCTGCACATTGTCAGCGTCATTCTCGTTACCATCCACGTCGTTCTCTTCGTAGATGCTTCCAAACCGGGCGTGCTCTGCGCTGTCAAAGGAGGCGCACGAGACGGAGGGGGGAGCGTCACCCAAGTCGAAGTTGACCAGCCGGACGCCGCGCACACTCCTCCTCGCCATCCCCATGGAGGCATGTGGCTTCACAAAAGACCGGGAAGCGTTCACAATCGACCTCGACACCGCCGATCGGCTGCGGTTGAGCACGTCGTCGTAGTTGTTCCACAAGAGACCTTGTCCGTCCTCAGGTAGCCTATCGATGCTCTTGCCAAAGTACGAATTCAGGCACGCAGTAATGCTCCCACAGAATCGCACGCTGCGGGCGAAAGATAGTCGTTGTTCTCTCTGAGGCACGGCCCGAAGTCGAAGCCGCAATTTCACCGCATACCCGCGTCCCACTCGTTGTATTAACTTTATGACGCGAAGAAGACGCGCCTGTGCACGCAGACCTCGCAAGCGCCACCATCTGCTGAGAGTAATTGCAGCACGTCGTCGTGTCTCTGGGAGAAGGTAGTGCGTTGGGATGCGGCGCAGGGGTGCTGACGTCTTCATTTCTTCTGGTTCCCCGCTCCGTGATGAGCGCCCATGTGTCGTTGACAGCAACAATGAAGACGAGAGATTGGACACCAACGCCACTAACGGCGCTGATTCTGCCGACGTCCATAACAGCACGGAGGAAGGGCACTGACGGGAGGCATCCTCTTCGCCGGCTTCATCCTTATAATCATCATTTATGTCCAGTGTCGGCGCACTGGTGCGAGAGTTGTGGACGCTATTCCTGAGCTGCAGGACCTGGAGCATGTCAGGTGTTGTGGAGCCTCCATGCCCACTTGGGCTATCCAGTGAAAGACTAAGTCGCTGTGTATTCGCAGCGCTTGGCTGCTTGACGTGCTGGCGACGATGATGTTGATGGTGGTTGTGGGAAATCTTGTCCTTCGTTGCGCCCAGCGGTTTCTTCGCTGGCACGCTCTGTGGGCGTACCAAAGCAAGCATGCCACCTCCTCCGGACGCGTCCCCACGGTATATGCTCATCCTTTTACGGCCCGTGTCCACTTTGCGCTTCCACACACATCAAAAACAAAAGGAAGAAATGGAGCTATGGGAGCATACGGACTACAACAATTACTCTACAGCCGCCTTTTTTGTGGCTTGTGGTCACAGTGGTGGTAGTGGTAGAAGGGGAAGTGCAATAATCAGTGGATGTGCTCTATTGTACCCACCTGTGCACCATAAAAAGCACAGCATCAATCTCACACATACACGTACTGGCTCACACGTCCTTCGTCATCTCATGCAGCACGAGACGCACGAGGTTCCGTATGATGAGTCCAACGTCGCTGTAGTTCGCCAAGTGCGTCAGTAGCTGGTGCTTGATGCGACAAGGCTTCACTCCGTTGCATAGCTCCCGCACCTTGCGGTACTCCTCTGGGTTGTTCTCCTTAAGAAAGGTCATGACGTAGATGTCCTGTGGCTTCACCTGGAAGAGATCCTGAAGCGTACGATACAATGCGTCCCGGTGGGATGCGTTGTGCAGAATGGCTATTGGCTTCACAGACAGCTGGCACCTGTCGGCCAGCGCGGCACAGTCGCGCTGCAGGTGATCCACTAGCGCGTCCGCCGCCCCACCGCACTCTGGGTCATCGTATGTGAGAAGCACCACGAGGACGCGTGCCACCATCTACAGGAGAGACAACTGCAACTGTGGGCTTCTCCTCTATCGATGTTTGCTTAGGGAAATTGATGCCAGAAATCACATGGGCAAGAAAGAGAACGAAGGATACGCCGCACCACTAAGGCACACACATTCACAGCACGAAGGCATTGGGTCGCTGTTGCCCTGCACAAGTATGGTTTTTTTTGTAAAGTACGAAAAGAAAAAACTAAAAGAATTTTCGGACCGTAGACACCAAGTCATGCTTAGAAGAGCGCACCCATGCCGAAGTCATCGTCGTCCTCCTCCTCCTCCGGCTCAGCGGCGGCAGCAGCAGCAGCGGGGGCGGCGGCGG